CGACAGAACACCCAGGTATTTTCAGTTTTCGTTGTTGGATTTGCATTGATCTACGGAGCCTTATGTTTGGTCTTTTGCTGGTTGTTTTAATTCTCTCATAGTTTGTTTGGACCAGTGCTGGGAAACCAGTTTTTATTTTCGTGCTTTTACCACGTGCTGGGTAATTTATTCGCTTTTATTCTCGCAGGTCTTTCTTTTTTTTCTGCAATCTTGCGTTGTGCACTATTTTGTTATTGTAGTTGTGCATGTTTTCTTGGATATTTGGTAAATCAGTTATTTTATATTTTTGAACACTTTTTCATTTTGGTTGAGGACCGGCTAGTTAAAATCTTAAGCTTTAGTGTCTTTGTGTCGGCAGGTGACGTGGCTTTCCTTTTGAAAAGAGGAACCTAGTTTGAGCGACGAGTTTGGGAGCATTGCCCAGTGTGCCACGTGGTGCCGCGATATTTTCTACCGAGGACTCTTTGCCTATCAGATGGTGGTTACAAGAGAGAAGAGACGAGATAACGTTTTGGTCGAGGGCTAAAAGAGTGGCGTTGCGGTGCCATGCGGTGGCATTAAAAAAAAAAACAAAAAAACATCGGTCGCGGTCCAAGAGCGGTGTCGCTCTGTGCCACGGGGTGCCCCCTTCCCGTTCTTTACTTGCGTCATTTCCTCATTCTTTGCTCCTAAACCGCACGGAAACGCTTGCTACGGGGGCTATGGCGGACCGAGAGAGCAGTTTCGCTCTGTGCCACGGGGTGGTGTTGAAAAAAAAAAAGGATCGGTCGAGGACCGAGAGAGCGGTGTCGCTCTGTGTCACGGGGGGGCATTAAAAAGAAAAAAGGAGAGAGATCGGTCGCTGACCGAGAGGGCAGTATCGCTCTGTGCAACGGGATGGCTTTAAAAAAGAAAGGAGAGAGATCGGTCGAGGACCGAGAGAGCAGTATCGCTCTGTGCCACGGGATGGCGTTAAAAAGAAAGGATCGGTCGAGGACCGAGAGAGCAGTATCGCTCTGTGCCACGGGATGGCGTTAAAAAAGAAAGGATCGGTCGAGGACCGAGAGAGCGGTGTCGCTCTGTGTCACAAGGTGGCGTTAAAAAAAAAGAGAGAGAGAGAGAGAGAGAGAGAGAGAGAGAGAGAGATCGGTCGCGGACCGAGAGAGTAGTATCGCTCAGTGCCACGGGGTGGCGTTAAAAAAGAAACAACGGGAAAAAAAATGATCAGTCGTGGACCGAGAGAGAGGTGTATCGCTATCCCTCGATTCGGTATAAATAATGCATTATAAGGTAGAAAATAAGGTAGAAAAGAACGCAACTCGAAAGGGGTTTGGGAGGGATCTGAGTCTAGAAGTCTTTGCTGTTTCCATTAATAAAACGAGGACCGTTCTTGGGACGGACGCGCACAGCTCGGTGCTCCATACCGTTGGACAGCGGAAAGTCATGGCTGAACTGTGCTTTAAAGCGGGCCATATTTAGCATACTTGCCCAGAGGAACGGGCGGAGGAGGCCTGGTTACCGTGATTGCCATATATACTGGATCGTTTCGTTGGGTTTATCGACAAGTTTAAGCATATAGGCACTATTTTGAAATATCTTTTTCTTCTGGTTTCTCTGTGGTCTCGAGGTTGGAGAAGTGACCCGACAAGCGTTTTGCCTATAGGCATGCCCTTGAGCCCGATTACTCGGGCTATGGTGGTCATTTTCTCCGAGCTCGGGTTTGCAGTCTCTTCACGATTTGTCATCTTTTGATCGTTTTCTTCTCGGTAACTCTCGGTGAAGAATCGCCGATATTTGTGCCTTTAACGTTACTGAGAGTAAGCAGATACAGACATGTTTAATATCTCTGGATGTAAACCCGAGTTCGGGGAAAATGGCCACTGAGTGAAAGGACAATATCTTTAGGGCTTATATCGGCCCATATTATCGGGCCCGTTTACTTATACCTAGGCATAAGGAATAGGGGCGTAGAAGCACTGAGTGGGGTCTTCGATAGTCACCTTTTAAGTAACGGTGTTCACAGCCTGTCACTGGTGCATGACTGAACGTTTCATTGAGTTGGGAGCAATCCGGGCGTATTTGGGATGACGCGGTAAACGTTTTTTGCCCTTTTGTCTTCTTGGGGACGCTAGAGCCAAAGAGGACAAGTTTTCAGGTTTATGTGTTGGCACGTTTCACCAGGTTTTTATATTTGTGAATTAAGGTAACACTTACTTCCGCTTGTGGAAGTTTTTTCGATTACCTGTATTTTGATTCTTACAAAAGTAACAAGGGTGATTGATTTGGATGTCACTTTGTATCCGTACCCTCAATCTTCGGTGGTAACTCAGTGTTGAGTGGTAGGCTTGGTGTCTGGTTGTGATAAGTTTTGGACAAGAAGCCAGATGCATACTAGAAATACTAGGAATAAAGATAAACTTCATGTACCATCTTTTAGATCGACAACAGGTCAGCGATCTTTCTCCTATAGGGCTGTTCAACTCTGGAATGGCCTTCCAGAAAGTTTAGCAAACATTGAGTC